TCAAATAAAAGCTGGTTTTATAAACAATAGCACATGTTTGTGTACCGAATATGTGAAATATTCATGAAAATATTAATGGAATTGATATTACATCAGTTATATTATATAATTCAATGTCTTCTTGTAAGTTTATTGAAATATTTTTCTTTATTTTGAGTTACAAAAAATTTTAATGACTAATGTATGTATTCGTCAATTGTGAATTATTATCAGATCCATACATCGAAAATTTGAAGAATTCCAGAGATTCATTGAACGTGAATGGTTTACATTTAGACATCGATCAAATCAAACAGCTAGAAATAAAATGGATTGAGCACCAGTTTTTCTTCGATTTCTTGATCTTGTTCATCAAATAAGATTGATTAATTAATTAAAAAACTAATTTAATATAAAAATTTTTGAAGATATGAAATCGCTTTCTAACTGAATTTGAATTTAATGAATGTTATTTTCTTTTTCTTGCTTAACATCATTTATTAAATAGACACAAAAATTTTATGCATGATTATGATTGTGAACGAAAAGAGATCGAAACTGGTATGTGAATACTATTCGCCATCCATGAACTGATGATAATTAGTGGTAAGTTTAGTTCATTTATCAACCTCATAATACATCTACTGATTTCTTTACATTTATATCGATCTAATACAATTAATATTTTGGATTATATTACATGAGTTAATCGAAAATCTACCAGACTTGATAATTTTCTTTACTCACTAACATATGACAGTTGTGTTCTTAATTCATCATATAAAATATATTCACTTGATAAATGAAATTTTTATTTAAATGAAACATTAAAAACAGGTTGCCCATATGATCTTGATATAGCATTATGGCATTAGTATTTGTTCACCAAATTTTTAATCAAACTGTTTCTTTGAGGATGATTTGGTTTTTTGATGGAATTAATTTTTTGTTTTTACTTTTTGGAATAAACTTGAAAAATTCAAAAGAGAAAAGCCAAAGATAAGTTCAGTTAACATACGCAAATAATTTCCTGACATATTCTTGATTTCTGATCAGCATGTAAATAATTTTTTAGCGTCTATCAACAAATTTATGATGCTTGTGATGAATTAATTGATTCAAAAAAATCACTGAATAATAGTTAGTAATAATAGTAATTTTGTTTTCAAAGAAAATTTATTTTTATTAGAAATAATACGAGCATTTCAATATCATGATTGTTCAAATGTTTGTCATGAAAAATGCCGACCAATAGCATCTTATAAACCAGGAAAACGAATTGGTGGATTATCTGATTCTTAAATTGTTGTTAATTTAACTCTTTTTGAAGCAGGCAGTGTCACCACAGGTAAGTTTTAAATCCTTCTCAGTCGTTTGTTTCTTTTTCATTACATCATTTCTAGATACTACAGATGCTTTATTGAAGAAAGCAGGTAAAATATTATTATTCTCATTTAGGATATAGATATATCTTCACTGATAAGAAAATGTAGAAATAACAATCTTCTTCTTAAAAATTTTGATCTTGACTTAAATAATTAGAAATAATATTACATTTTAGGTGTTTATAGTCATCATAGATTATCTCATCTATATTCATCGTCAAATGTGACCGGAAATAATTCTGGTTCACAACATCGAACTCATTTAGGATATTTAAGGAAATACACTCATTTATTAAAACAATGAAAACAAAGATAGTTTGTATTTGATTCCGTACGACATGAAGTAATCATTCAATTTTCTTCTGTTTTGTATGCATCTATACCTGATATTCAATATCTAACCATATATGAAGAAAAGCAAATCTTCTCAGAACAAAAATGAGGTAAATTTATTTTGTTTAAAATCCTATAATACTGAAATGAATTAAAGTCTTCTAAATCACTCAGTTTATGATACACCTGATGCTCTTTTAAAACCTATTCAAAACATTGATCGATCAGCTCAAAGCCCAGACTTTAAATTAGCTGAAAGTAAAAGAAGCTTTTGCTAATGGATCTGTCGTTACAAAATTACGTGATGTTCTTGATGAAAAAATTGGTCAATCTCCAGCACAAGTTCCGCTATTGATAATTGTATGTTTTGAAGAAGATTATCATATAATTAAATATTTTACTTGATGTAAGTTTTTTATTTTATGTTAGTTAATATTGAAAAATCTTAAAACAAAACTGGTGCTGGTCCAATTCAAACAGAAAGTGAACATAATTTAACACCAATTCATATTTACGTTGATAAGCGATATAAAGGAAAAACATTAACAGAACAGCAAAGAGAAGATCTTATACGATAAATGGCTAAAAATTGATCATTCAGAATGTTCAGATGTTTTAATTGAAGCTAATGTTGATCGAAATGTTTATCTATGGGTGAAAGAGCTCTTAGTATTGTTGCAAGACAAAATTGGAATAAAACTCTCAAAAAAATGACTTAATTACCCACTAAAAAGAACTGTTTTTTCAAATAAAACTGGTGGATCTGTTTTATATTTTGCTACTACTGGTGTGATTTCATTCTTCTTTAATTATTTTTTAAATAGAAATATTTGATAGTTTAGTATGTGTTTAATTATTGTTATAAATCGAATTAAATGTAAATGCTCAAGGTACGCTTGAAAATACTTTAGCAATGGTTACTTTTTTTTCAATAAACCAAATATTCGTAAAACACTTATTAAAGCAAAGGCTAATTTAACAATTAAAAGTAATGAAGAAAGAAAAATGCAGTTGCTCCTTTTGATGAAAGAGGTGTTGATGAATGCAAAGCTCTTCTCCAAGAAAAATGAACAAATTTAATGTGTATTACACTTTTTTTTTCAAACACTTTTTGAATTCCTTTCTTTTAGTATCAAGCTTTCTTTTAATAAACTAATATATTCACATTTATATCCTCAAAAATCAGACGATTGTTATTAATCAACTCATTTCATATGCAAATTATTTGAATAAATATAAGCAATCAAGACAAAATACTTGTGATTTTTAAATAAAAATATTCTTTAAATGATCGTTTTATTGAACTCTATGGCTCAGCATTTTGTCAATTACATGCCTAGATAAAAGTCTTTTCTTCCTCTCTTTTCATACCGTTGTTCATCGCTTTAGTTTCAAGTAAATCTTAGTTTTCTACTGTTGGATCCCTAAAACACTCGCCCTTAATTCAAAGCTCGATTAATAATGCATGAACGATTAATCAGGTCTAGTCAAGCCCGAAACTCTTTTACAGTTGTCATATCCCAAAAATAATAGCCAAGTTATGAAGCATTCTGGGTGCGGGTGTAGATGCGCTTTTCATCTGCATCCACACCCACACTCTCGATCTTCAGTCAGACTACGCTATTCTGTTCTCAGAACGTCATTAATTACTTGAGTAAATATTTTTACGAATTGAAACCATGGGCAAAACTGAAACATTCGAAAGTTTTAATTCTTTTTGAATCCTATTGATATTTGCAGTATATTTAAAAACTAAATACAGAGACAAAATACGAAAAATAGCGTGATGGTTAAATAGGAGGATGATACTTTTGCATAACATTGATCAAATCTGCATAAACTAGTTTGTTGACGTTTAAAGCGACAATGAAATCTGCATGATTATAATCTGGAAGGTATTTTTGATAGACCAGGGACTGTATATTGTCAAAAATGAATTTCACATCGGTCGGATCTGCAAGCCAATCTTCACCACCTGAGAATATTGCTGTAGGTATTTTCATAGGATGAATAGGGTATAACGGCGGTGTCGTTTGATTGTAATGTTGTTGATTCTTGTCTGGTGAACCATAATCATAAGCTTGAAAGACATTGGTTTGCACGCCCTGTGCGAAATGGATCATATTCTTCACCGACGTTCCAGCAGGTAAATGTCCTGTATAGACTGGAATTCGGGTAACATTCAAATTTTTCTTGTCTGGACCGAAAAGAAGGAAGTAGATGTTTTCACACAGATCTCGATCGATGATCGGTTGATCACATGCAATAACTTCCAGCCATTCTTGAATTTCGGACGCAGGAAGAAACTCATTACGCCCAAATAATATATGCCAAAATCTCTCCAAAGAATGTCTATCCTTTACCCTAAATCTGGTACCCAGAATGCATCCCTAAATCGAATCCACATTTGTGGATAATAAAACGAAAATTAATCCAGATTAGGGATTTTGATTTAGGGATTTTCTAANCAGAGATAGACTCTAGAGTAATTAGTCGAATGACATAATTTTCGGTTCGATATATCTTAAGATAGGAAAATTTACATGGATCACATGTCCATGTATGAATGATCGATTTATGGTACAAAATATATGTTAGTATTTTCAGCAAAAGTCCATCTAGACTCTTCTGAAATAGCTTTATTTTGATACCAAACGATTCCTCGTGAAATTCTGCATCTAGTAAACTACGAATCAACCAAAATTGACGAGGGCCCAAAAATGACCCTTATACGCCCCCGTCCTTTCTAATAGTTCTCCAATAATTAACGTATCGAATGTGTGGTATTCATTGTATCTATTTACAATTTTTTTCCAATAATTTGTGAATGATCCTTTTTGTTAAAGAAATATACATTTGTTAGAAAATGTTTAGTTTTGATCATAGATTCAGTTGCCGGATATTCAATTTAATAAAATTATTTATCAATAAATGTGTAAAAAATCACTTCGACAAAATATCTTGTCAAAGTTGTAACTTTGTCAATTTTTTCTGTCAAAGTTGTAACTTCGACAAAATTTCTTGTCGAAGTTATAACTTCGTCAACTTTGTCTGTCAAAGTTATAACTTCGACAAAATTGTTGACAAAGTTATAACTTTGTCGACCGGTGTAACTTCGATACGACATATATGTCTTCACTTTCATCTGTTGTCTTCTTATTCCTCTCTCATCAAAAGGAACAAAATAAAGTCGACTTTAAAAGTGACAAAGCGATTCTGTTTCATTAATCTTATAAATGTAATGAAGCAGTTTTTCTTTTATTTTCTAATCAATATTAATTTTCCAAAAAGATTATCAAAGTATTAGTTTACGTTAATATAAATATAGGATTCTGGACCTTTTCGTGCACTACCATCCGACAGCGGAGTGATGTGAATATTCCACGATGAAGACCAAATGGTGTGAAATGACACGTTTTTAATGCCCTGTTGATAGGTAAAACGGACTGATCCATATCGGCGATTGAGTTCTGTTACAGCTGCAGTACATGCTTCGGCTTTCGCTTGTTCACGCTTAGATATAGTCAAGCTTCGAACGAGATTTCGATCGTCAACTTGACTACGAATCGCACATGTGTTGATATATTTAATAGCTGCTCGATAGTCGTCTAATGTTAGTTTGCCTTTGAGCCAAGATGGTTCGAGTAGAGAATCAGGATTAAAAAAGTTGAGAAAACCCGTTAATCGAATAATACCACCATTGAGAAATTCGGCAACAGGTAGATGAGGTGTCATTAAATTCACTTCTTCTTCAAGTTTTTCCCTTGAACTCTCATTGTTACTAGCACCGCTACCCATGACTTTTTTCTTATCGAGCACAAACACTTACAGCAGTCTTTTATATGTGTTGTGAGAGTAACTGTTGACGTACATGAATGCAAGACAGCGAAAAACATTTCTATTCTTTACATCATTGCTAGTGCTGCCTGCATCGTTCTTTTTAGCTGTGCTGAAACGTTACGAGTGTCGATGGAATTCTTTTCTTTTTTCATAAGCAATGCATAAAATACTTGTTTGTTCACCTGGTTTTTTTTTCTCTAACAACAACTAAAACATCCGTCATTCTCTTCGATTGACAGCAATGGCAAGGAAGAGAATCATGTCGCCTATAAACAATTCGATAGAGAGGCAGCTGCATTTAATATAATAGAATCCTGGATATGATATTGATTCGAAATCGGTAAAATTATGGTTGCTCTTATCTGACTTTAGTCTATTTGTTAACTGTTGACTAAAAGCTGGTTGTATCTATCATAATACAGTAGAAAAAAGTGTTTTCTGTTCGTGCTTTCTTTCTCTTTAGACAATGCCGATACATTCTGTAGTGACGAGAGCACAAAAAAAAACAAATAATCACCTTTTGAATGACGGTATATGCGAGTGAGTATATAGGTGCGGGTGCACATAGAGTAAACACCTCAATTAAAAAAACTCATCCACACTCACCTCACACCTCATTTTGAAGAATTGACAATCTTTTCAAGCTGAAAGAAGTCCTTGACAAAATGCTTGTATTCTCCCTTGAATAAAGCTTGCAGCTTAGTTCAATATCACATTTCGTAAAGAGATGTTCGCTCTACAAAATAACCGACGCCGACAATTTTGAGCATGTTCGAAAAGTGATTTGTAGAGTAGACAAAAACTTGTTGATTTATCACTAACCATAATTTTTTAGATCTTTCAAAAAGTCCTTCGCTATTCTTGAACAAAAATTGACAACATTTCCTAGCACATATTCAAACTCTGGTCGACACCTATATTATGGTTCTAACTAACCTTTTGAACTTTGCACAACCTATTTCACTATTCTCAAACAATACGTGAAACAAAGTTTCATTGTCTATTTCAAATCAATCATAACTATAAAAAAATAAACATCAATTTTACATTATATTAGGATCATATTTCAACGGTTTTGTGAAATCTGCTGCGTTTCAAAAACCCGCTATAGTAATTAATGAAAAAAAAGTCAAGGAAGTGAATAATGTTCACGAAAATTACCCAAATTGAAGTGTTCTGTCTATTTCACAAACTTGTTGAGACTGCTGAACAAATTATCTTTTGGAGGGTTTTAATAAAGGATATTTATACCAAATTCGATAAGTCGTTATTTGTGAAATTGAGCAAGCTTGTGCAATAGACAGAATAAACTCTTAACGTCGGTTCATTTTAATGAGCATTATTAATTTAATTGACTTTTTCTTTAGTAATCATGGTAGAAGTTTTCAGAATGTGATCGATTGCAAAAAATCATGGCAATGTGATGCTAAGATTATGTTCATTTGGCGTTTGTTTTTCAGAATGATAGTTGATTCGAATTAGATCACGAGTAAAATTACCTTTTATTTTAATCTCTGTAGTTGTAGACACTTTATTTGAAATATATTTAATAAGACTTTTATGACTATAAGATCGAATCCTAAACATAAAATATGTACGTAAATCATTTGAAATGTTAATCATACATTTTTTTCGACTGAACTTTTGGCACCCTCTGTAGAATATTGAATTTACTTTTATAAGCAAAAATGAGCAATAATGTTCTTTTTGAGTGTTTTGACTCTTTGTCGTAATGGTAGATAAATTTGTTTGATATTCTTTTTATGTATTCGAATATTTTCATGAATAGTCATTCTTGTCTTTTATATTACTAGGCTTTCCTTTAAAAATCATGTAATGTTATTCTTCATATTAAGTAGCAACCTTCCTTAGTAAGATATATATATATATATATATATGTTAAAAAATATAAAAATAAGATGCACTTGCCTGTTGGTAATGTCTCAAACTCCAGATCACGATGTGTACCTTTTATATTTTATTATATTATATCAAATGCAGTCATAAAATATATCTTTTTCATCGAATTTAGCATTTCACAAATCGCTACAATCAACATAAAGATTTAAAACTAATGGTATGTTCCAATTTTTCACTCTGTATTCGTAATCTCAACTGAAAAATATACTTAAGTAAAAGAAAAGGGTCTTTGTAATATATTATTGTTTACATTCTTTATAGATGATTGAAGAAAAGCCTACTTCAATGACATTATTAGAAAACAACCATAGACTTTTCTTTTTTCCTTGCTACAATTAAGAACTTTCAATTTAGCATAGATTTCATCATTTGAGACTTCATGAAATGGCAAGTACCATTCTTTTTCTTTACTGCTCTGGTATTTTCTTTCGAGATCATTCGTTTTCCTTGTTTTTTTTTATATATTAATATTTTGACGAACATGAGTTTGGAGTATTTGTATATTTTTGAGTTTTCTTCTCGATAATAAGAACTAGAAAGAATATGAGAAAAGATTCTCAATCAAAAATGTTGCATTCGAAAACTACAACATATCTGTTTGGAGAAGCATGTAATCCTCAAAACTAGTTTTTCGGCTGCTATTTCGAAGCTTTTAGGGAAAAGATTTAATTATGACAGAGAAAATAATAATTCTGAGAAAATTAGAAGTTTCTGATCTTTCTATGACCTTCCTTCATCCAATCGTATTATATTCACAACAGACCTAACAAGTATTGTTTTTTCTTGTTTTTATTAATGGTTGCAATGTTTTGCTTGTGTGTCGATGACTGTGCGTGTAGATATGGGGTGCTGTTCGAACTATGAATGGTGGCGAGAGAAAGGACCAGACATATCACTCTCTCATCGACACCGATGGAAATTTTTAAAAAAATGATTATTTAATCCTTAATAACAAAGGAAAGAAAAAAACTTTATCAAAAATATTTTATTTCATATAAAAAAAGAACATTATTCACAGAAAACTAATGCTTTTTTGCCATATAACGATCTAGTTCACTCAAATTGATTGACATAATATGGTTTAATGTTCTGTCAAAAACATTCTAATTGTAATTGACGAACGAGATGATTCAATGTGCTCTTTAAAATGTATTCATATATCTTAAAAAATCAATTAAATATGTTTGAAGAGGATCAATACATTGTGAATCATAGTCTATGATCGAAATGAAATACAATGAGAAACAGTGATTGACTAAAGAAGGATTTTGCTTACCATTAAAACCACGTTATTTTATGAAATCAATTACGATTTGAGTGAAATGTTGATCAATACTACTAACGAGAAAGAAATGAAAGTAAATTATTCGAAAAGAATAACACAAGTATTTACTCTAGATTTTTTTTGTTGAAGACATATCGAATTATGTTGTGTTGAACAAGACTAACCGAAGGAAGATCAGTACAATTTGCCATCTCAAGTTCATAAAATAATTAATTTTGTTTTGGCTTTAATATGATAGATAGACAGAATAGGAAAGGAAATTTATTAGTTAACAGGTCCATCCACTATTAAGATAGAAATATATGTCACGTTTACTTATACATTATTATTCATCTACATATGTTTTAATATGAGTGAGAAAGTAATATTGTATAAAAAGTATGCTTGCTTTTGTCATCGGTCAAAAAAAATTATGCTATTAGAAAATGGTAGCCAAGGTAGTGCAATCAAAGTACAATTCTTTTTTTGTTATGAATAAACAGATCTTTTTACAATGTTTATAGATTATAAATAAAATAGAAAATGATCTTTTCATCACTGAATCTAAATTTTATTTAACATTAGTTTTTTTATAATCTTCCTAAAAGTTTAATTGAGTAATTATTATAAAAATTCTACATTTTGGCGTGACTAACATCACTGTTTAGGTACATAAAAATATGTGTAGATTATTTTGTTCTTTAAGAGTGTAAGACTAGTCTCATATTTAATATATGTATAAAAAAAAGTCATGCTTGATTTCATACAAGTTATGCCTTTCTTCCTTGTTCGCATTAGTTTAAACAAAAGTATTCAGAAAAAAAATACTATGTGAACAATGAATAGTAAATATGAATAGCATCTCAAACAGCATTAAAAACGCAGCTGACGATAGCACCCAATTACTTTCATCATCTTATCAGTCGGTTGCCTTTTAAAAAAACGTGAAAATGAATTCGATAGAATTCAATCATCAACTCATTTTTAAATGTTAATAATCCATTATTTGTTTATTTTAATAATTATTCTGGACTCCCATTAACAGATGATCATGTACAAGTTGATCGAAATAACCTATTGACTAATCATAAGCATATAATATCAAAAATATATTTGTATTTATTCGAGTGTGAGTGAAGAAATGACCTGCATCCACACCTTCAAATAAACATAATATCTGTTAAGAATTTAGAAGATACACCAGAATTTCTATACAATCACATAAGGCAAATGATAGAAAAAGGTTTTAGCTGTTGGTATGAGCTGCGAATAAAGAGAAGATCCAAACCCACACTCATACTCTCAAGTTAAATCTGCATAAAAAGGAACACAATTAATTTTTTTAATTAATTCTAATTTGTATTTACCGCTAAGTTCGAAATATACAAGTTATATGATCGTTCAGAGTATGCGGAAAGAGTTGCTGTTGACGTCATTCTTTCTTTCACATTTGACTTGTACTTGTTGTTTTACAATGATGGTTGATTCGAATTAGACTATGAGTAAAATTGTTTTAATTTTGACTTCTGTAAACTATAGACATTTAATTTGAAATATATCGAATAAAACTTCAATGTATATCAAATTGAATTGTAAAAATAAATATGGAAATCATTTGAAAAAACTGAAGATCTATTCATGATTGTTTTTCAACGAGACTTTTTGAGCAATCTGCAGAATGTATAATTTATTTTTATAAACAAAAATGAATAAGAGCACAGATAAATGGAAAGAATATGTTGTAATTCTGTCACTCTGACATAACTTAACAAAATTTTTTTTCTAGATTCTTTCTGTTTTCTCATAATGACATATGACATATAATGTCGTTCTAGGTTTCTTTTTATGTATTCTATAATGCTAAGTACTTCTAATATTTCATGGAATAATCATTCTTGTCTTTTTTATTATTATGCATGTCTTTCAAAATCAAATAATGTTACTCTATTGCATTGTTTTTTTTTAGTCTAGACAGAATTTACATAATTTTTATGTACTTTATTTGCTCATCTATTATAGGACATTCGTGTCAAGTAATAATCTTCGATAACAAGAAATTCATCTTGAAAAAGATAACAGAAAGAAGAACTTGTCATTCATCAATGTCTTAAACTGAAGTTTATGACTTAAATCTTTTACAACTCATTACATTATCCCGAATCTAGTCATAATATATGTCTTTTTTTATATTTAACACTTCATAAAGGGCTACAATTATCATAAAGATTGAATAATAATGGTAATTATAGAGATTTTTCACTTTGTTTCAATAATCTTCATCAAAAAATAAAACAAAGTAAAAGTCTCGTTGTGACGTATTGTTATTCATATTGTCGATAAATGATTCAAGAAAAAACTATCCCAATCGCTTTATTAGAAACCAACCATACATCTTTCTTTTTTCCTTATTAGAGTGTAAGAACTTTCAATTTAGCATAGATTTCGTCATTTGAGACTTCATAAAACGACAAGTACTATTCTTTTTCTTTATTACTTTTGTATTTCCTTTGATTTCATATATTTTCTCTTTTTTAATATATATATATATATATATTCTACATTACTATTCAACTATCGCTTTGCTTTTATTTGAAATAACTGTGTTAAAATATTTTTTGATTGGTGACTTTACATGAACAATACAATGTGTGAGGAATCGTAAGTATTGTTTTGGATTTCGAACATGAATATGTTTTAGTTTAATTAGTATTAAAGTTGCTGTACGTGTTCGACCATTTAATCAACGGTAAAGTAAATAGATAAATATTTTCAAAATAATAGATTTATAATAAATAGAGAAAAAGATCGAAAGGCAAAACGTATTATTGAAATGAATGGAAAATCAACATTTATTATAGATCCACAATCACCAAGTAAGTGTTATAGTTAATAACAGGGATGGTCCGAAGTCACCAGCACTGGTGGTGTTAATCGGAAGACTTTGATAAAGCTGATTGGGTTTTTTTATTGGCGGACGACAGTTTCGACTAGTTTTAAGATGTGAACGAAAACAAACGCTTGAGCTGGACTGAGAAAAATAGGAAAATTTTTCGAGATTCAGATGATCGTTTCCGGACATCCCTGGATAATACTTATGAAATTATTTCTATTATTGAATATTATAATAGATGAACGACAAAAGGTGAGTTTTTCTATATGCACTGATACAAAAAAAAAGATAAACCAACATTTCTTGTATTTCAGTTTTCATTTGATTATTCATATTGGTAAGTTTAAAAATTTCGATATTAAATTCAAGATAAACTCTTCTAGGTCACATGATGGTTGTACTGAGCATCCTTCAGGTATACTTGAAGTCAATGATATTTGTTCATTTTATGTTTCCCAACAAAAAGTTTTTGATGATCTTGGTCGTGATATACTAAAACATGCATTTGATGGTAATAAAAATTCCAAAACAAAAAATTTACATTCTTTATTTTTCTTAGGTTTCAATTGTTCATTATTTGCATATGGTCAAACAGGATCTGGTAAAAGTTATTCAATGATTGGTTATGGTGTTAATCGGTATCAGATTTATTTTTTTCTTGGTTTTCTAATAAATAATAATCAAAATTTATTTTATTAGTGGAATTATATCAATAACATGCGATGAATTATTTCGGCAGATTGAAAATAAGAAAGATACAAATATCGTATGTAACCTTTAATTTTGACAATTTTATTTTCAATATACCAGAGTTCAAAAAATGGAGTTCGTTTGTCTTGAATGAAGATAATATGGTTTGTTTTATAGTTTTAATATAGAGAAAAGGATATTTAACTTAAGACTACTGTGTCAAAATAATAGAATTCATTATTTTTACTTTTATAAAAAAAACATGCGTCATTATAATCGGATAAGTCTGACTAATAAATCAGACTAGTCAAACAAATGCATTAAGGTTTTTTTTCTTCTTAGAAACAATATTTTATGCGATTATAATATATTCAAATGTGTTGCAGACAACCAGTCCTTTTTCGTGAATTACTACTTAGAAAGAAATAATTCACTAAAGAAGAAAACTATATCGTTGATTCATGTTTATATGATATTCTGTATGGTAGAATAAGGCAATATTTTGAATGATCAGCGAGCCTAAAGTGGTTCACTTGTAACAATAATTATTAATATTAAATATGAGAATATAGAGCAGTATGAAAAAGAAATAACTTATTTTAAGACTGAATTAGGTTTTTGTCGAAAAATCAGTATTGTAATTTAAAGAAATCTTTATCAATAAAATTTTTATTTCATTGATATAATATATTTTACGAAACTCAATAGACGATTTAATAAGTGATAAAATATAAAAGCTGATATTAACATCGATTACTTTTCATGATCTTAGATCTGAATGTCAAATCATCTTTGTATCATTGCCTGATATCCATTATTATTATTTTCATAGAAGAAAAAAATTAAGCGATTTTTATATTGAATTCATTCATACTTTGAAATTTTTCTAGCGTTTTGAAGTTACATTATCTATGATGGAAATATACAATGAACAAGTTTTTGATTTATTAACAAAAAGATTTCCTAAGGGAGGTAAATAAAAAAATTTCAAAACTGAAACTAAAATCAAATTTAACACGAACAATTTGCTAAGGTCTTACTGTTCGACAACATCCCATTTCCAGTTATTTCTATCCACAAGATCTTCGTGTTGTACCTGTGGCTACTTACAATGATATTGAACGCCTTTTAATTGAAGGTATACGAAATCGCACAATAGCTTCAACAAATATGAATAAAACAAGTAGTCGAGCACATACAATCGTTACAATTCATTTTGATCAAATAATTCAAACTAATCATGGTGAAACAAAAAAAATGAGTACTATTCATTTTGTAGATTTAGCTGGTAATAATAATATTACTAAAAAGGGGAAGTTTTCTTACTGATTTATCGCTTTTGAGTCAAGATTAGACATGTACAGAATCGAGACAAGAATATACCAGATTCATCGCGACTACGATCGAAACTGGAACTGAAAAAATTGATTCCATAATGCTTAGTCCAGGCTATATGCATCTTGTAGATTCTAATGAGATATAAATACGATAAGAAGAGCTCGGGCCCTTAGCTTATTGCTGCCGAGACATTGCATTTTTTTCTCTTTAAAAAGTATCTTTGTGCAAAGTTTCAAAGTCGTAGCTTCAAAATGAGTTTTCTTCGTGTTCCCGAGATAGATCTTGGCATTAACCAAAAGAATTCCCTAAAATTGCAGCAGTTTAATAGAAATAAGCTAAGAACATGAATTCTTTTCAGGATATGCGTAGTCCATTAGGATCAACATTATGCACATAGTCTAGACTTCAAAACGATTAATCAGTTGAGGAACATCTCTCGTAAGAAAAACAACATTTTTTTTGTAATTATTTTCAGGTTCAGAAGGACTTTCAAGTTCAAGAATATCTGATGATCGATTAAATGAAAATACAAATATTAATCGATCATTATTAACATTAGGAAATGTTGTATCTGCATTAGTTGGTAAATCATTAGGAATAAAACAAAAAGTTGCTGTACCATGTCAAGACTCAATATTAACGAAATTACTTCAAAATTCATTTGGAGGAAATAGTAAAACAATAATGATTGCTACTATATCACCTGCTGATGTTCATTATAATGAAACATTGAATACACTTATTTTTGCTGATCGTGTTAAACGTATTAAAAATGTTGTTATGATTAATGAATATCCAATTGAAAAATTAATTCATCAATTAAAAGTAAATAAAATGGGGAATTTAAAAAAATTAATCTCTTTTTCTTTTTTATTTTAATATCAGGAAGAAAATCAATGTTTAACATTATTAATTGAAACAGGAAATTATTATTTACAATTAAATGTCAAGCATGGTATGACAGATCAAGATATTGAATTAATAAGACAACAAACAGAAAATGAAATTCTTACACAAATACAAAATAACCAAAAGATTTTACAAGATTCAAAAATATCATGGGATATTAAAGTATGGAATATTTTATTTTATTTTTATTAAAATAAGAACATTTCAATAAGAAGCGCTTGGGTAATAGCCCAAATATACTACACTAACTAGGAAAGATTCCCAAGTATGAGTCTCCATTTTCAATCGACTTTGTGCCAGTTGTAAAGTTTGATGGGCTGATCAAGAAGGCGTAATGTGTTCTTCCCATAGACTGTCTTCGAGGAGTTGGATTGCTCTCGATGTTTTTTTGTTTTTTAGAATATTGCTTAGTTTTTTTAATCCCATCTAGAAAAATTCAATCACTTCAACGAGCACTTTTTGGCATGCTTTGAGATTTTCCGTACAGAATATTTTGTTTGTCCTTCCTTATTAGGATTTATTACTGCATTGAAAAAAAGTCTTGTTCCATAATTTTGATTACAGAAAACTGTTGAAAATACTCTTTTCTGTAATAAATGGCTCAACTAATAGGTGAACGATTTGAAGTAATTCATCTCTTTCTCATCAAAAGCTATTAGATTACAGGTTAATGGGCTTTAAGTAAAATGATATCATGTTGAAGATTTTTACAATAAAATATTCAGGTATATTTGTTGTTTGTATTAAAATGATTCTATTTTCTCCAAGAAAAAGACGGTTTAAAACAGAAAAAGTTACTGTTTTCTCAGCTCTTTGATATATTTTACAGTCTGAAAAGATCTAAAACCCATTTTGACGAAAAGTTTGCTACTCTGGAGAACTTGCATATGAAGATCTAGGGGGTATCTCATGATCGATACCCTGTAATCCAGTAGCTTTCTATAAATAAACGATTGGTCTGTCGAAATGGTTTCCTTGCAAGGAGAAAAATCATCTGTTCTAACTTGTTTTATACATTACTTTAAATGAGATTTATTTAGAAGATTTCTAAATTTTACAATCTAATATTTATCAATTGATATAAAGTCATTTTCTATATAGCTTAAAAATGCTCGAGTAGATGATGAAAACTGCTGTTCGAAATCATTAAAATCAACACAATTCGATGATACATTTCCATATCTTGCTAATTTAAATGAAGATCCAATGTTATCATATGTTCTTTGCCATTATTTAAATACAGATGAAATAACAATTGGCCGTCGAGATTGCACAATATATTTGAATGGTTTAAGTATACTTGAACATCATGCTATTATACGACATATTGATATGAATAAATATGAATTAAGTCCAGCTGAATCTACTGCAAACATAAAAGTCAACGGTTATAATTTAAATGGGTAAATATGAAAAAATTACTTTTACAAATACAAATAAAATTGAATGATTTGAATTGTTTTATGTAACACGATACAAAAAGATACATTTCGATGACTTTCTGACTAACATTTTTTGCGTAGATCGATAAACGAAAACTAACCAATGAAACATCGTTCTGGTATTTATTTAGAGTCTGTATATCAGAAATAATCGAGCAGACCGTGACAAACGTTGTTAATACACTGAAGAAATGAATCTCAAAATAGATAGAATAAAACGATCTCTCTGTAGTTAACAATAGTAGCTACATCGTGTTTCACATGTTAATGCTACAGGAATTGTACTAGCAGCTTTTTTTTATTTAAATATTTAGAACAATATATCTTCAACATAAAGATTGTATTTTATTTGGTGCAAATCATCTATATGTTTTTTTAAATCCAACAGACGAACAACAATCTTTATTAGATACACCAACGATAATAACATGGGAATATGCACAAAAAGAAATAGCTAAAGCAAAGGGTTTTTCATTAGAAAATAATTCAACGATTGAACAAGATGATATTCAACAAAAAATCTTAAATTTATTACCATTAATTTCTGAAGTAAATGCAATTAGTGAAGAACTTAATAAATATCGAATATTTGAAATTATTCTTATGCCAATATCATCATGGGATGGAATACTAATACAAGGATCAAAGTAAGAAAAGGATGAATTTTTTTTCAAAATAAATATTTATTTTTTTAGATTATTGATTAGAATGAAAAATCTTGTTAATCGTAATGTTTGGTTTTGGGATGATGTAAAGTTTCTTAATCGAATTTATATTATTAAAGTAAAGATTAGAGTATTGAAAAAAAAAGTTTTCAAAGTCATTGTTTAGGAACATTATCAAAAATTCATAGATGGACAAGAAAATATTTTATATATCGCTAAAGAAGATGATCCGTAAGCAAAAACAAATTTTGTATTTTTTTTAAATAATTTTGTGATTATTTGATTAGATTTTGGGAACCAGTAGAAGATGTTTTAATTGGTACAGCTAACGTTTTTCTTCAAAGTTTAGTTCATTCAATGGATTTTGATGACGAAATTTATATTATTGATTATAAAGTAAGCATTTTTCTTGATGATCGAATAGAATTCTCGAAGTTGCTTGTTCGTAATGTAGTATATGAAACGAAATTATTTTCAAACCAATAATTTTCGAAATGCCTCTGTACACAATTATCTGTTATTCCAATAAAATTTTGATAACAAATAAGAAAATTTGCTTCAAAATCAATAAAATTCCATATTATACAATCAAATAAATACATAATTTCATTTACTCAGCATTAGAATGTGAGAAGATAATCATTCAAACTTCTTCTTGTGCTATAGATGAGTTCTTGAGTTTACACTCACTCCTCTTGAGAATTGACTAGCCAGAATTTCATCAATAGAATAATAACTATTTGCTGAAATTTTATCTTTAATTCTGGCGCAGGCATTAGTTTAATTATTTTAGTACTTTTAAAGAAACATTCGTTTCTTTTATTTTATTATCAGGGTTTTGACCAAGGACGTCTTCATATTAATCTAAGTCCATGTTTACCAAATGGTGATATTTTAAATAAAGAACATTTTATTGATCATCCTGATGAACTTCTTAATAAACCATTTAGTTTCAAAGTAAATGAAATTATTTTTATTATTTTTATTTATAAAAAACAAGACTAATTTCTACAGATTACAATAAATTATATTGAAATCAATGATGAACATTATAATAAAGGTCTTCGTATACGTTATAAAATCTTTAATGAATTAAAATTTAATGAAACTAATGTTATTTGTCGTCAGACACTATATGCTCGTATAAATCAAACGCGTATTATAACAATACCTAATGTTGATAATGTAAGCTTGATAAATATAATTCTTTTAAATTTTCATATTTATTTAAATAGAATTGGTTAAACTTTATTGACAATGGTTGTATTATATTTCAAATATTTGCTTTACAAGAAGAAAAAAAATCTTCAATTGATTTGTTTAAAATGACAACTCGAGTATAAAAATTAGACTTTAAAAAAAAAAATCTTTCTGTTTTTTTTTATTATTAGGAATTAAAAATTACTGAACAAAATCAATATGATACTATGTCAAAACATGTTAATCATCCAAATATAAGTTTACTAGATGATTCAAAATTAAAAGCAGGATTAACACTTCTTCATAGAAAATATATGCGTCTTGAACAAAAAGAAAAACGTATTCAAGTAAAATAAATATTTCGCTTTTCTGTTGTAATTAATATGTTTTTTTTTCTTATTAGCAATTATGTCGAGAATGGGAAAATCATCATGATTATTCTACATTCTATAAATATCTTTCAGCAATTGCATTTAGTACAGGAACTAAATTAAAACCGACAAATATGACTGTAAGTATGAAACAAATTTAACGATAGATATTAAACAATTTAATTTAGGAGAAAAGCAAAGAAAATCTCTTGGAAATTTATTTATTTGGTAAAGAAGAACAAGAGTATCTAAAGGATATTGAACAAATTAATTTAGAAAGACAAAAATATGTAAGTCAAAAATTTAATTATATTACATTAAGATTGCAAAAGTTTAGATAATGTAAAGAAGAAAGAATACTTCTGTCTAGCGACAAATTCAATAGCTCGATACCTTCTCTACAACTAATACTAGCTGTAGCTCTAGACAAAAAACCAGCCTGATGCGAAGTTCTTGCATTCTCCACACATACTAACTAACCACAAGAACAGGTATATGTCACAACAAAGTCAGCACGCTATCAGACAAGTGATTCGAGACAAACAGCTATTAGTCACTAGCTCATACTCATTCAACCATGGCGACTCTAATAGTATCAGTGAAGTTATTTATTTAGTCTTGTCTTTTTATCCATTATCTGTTGGTACTAATCCATTAGAGTTGGTGTTGAGTCAGCTACAGAAATATTCATGTCGCACATTTGTTCGTACTACTACTACCGATCTATTGATAGTTTTTGTCTGGTTCGAATCACATGAGGATGCAGAATGGGCCATAAATGACCGATTAATCTTGAATGACATAAAAATCATGACTTTTTTTTATCCTTCCGGAAAATTTAAAATATTATTTAAAAAATGATCACGGAATGCTATTTCACTAGATATTAGTTCGAATAAATTTTTTAGCTTGGTAATGATGTTATTTATGAGCTTATATCGAAAATAAAATAATTTTTCATATTACTCACTGCGAGTGAATGTAAAATATTGCTTTTACAGCTGTAATCAAGGCATTTTTTTAGAACTACTCTGAAAATAAATTATATGACGAAAAAGTTTCATTATCTAGACTGTATAATGATCTAGTTGCTCAATGCTTCATTAGTTTTTTTTGTTTGGATCAATAGTTGGTTCAATAAGTATAATATCGGAAATAACATGTTCGTTCTAACATCAGTATATTAAAGTAAACAATACGCTCCGAAAACTTTCATCAAGAATTTTAGAGAGTTTTTATTTAAATTTATGCGTTGTCTAGAATTTCATAATGAACTTTCACGATGTATGATTCATCTTTGTTCTTGCTAAGTATGAGCTGGACTCAGTTATTCGAGTATCAGTTTATCAGTCATAGACTGACGAGGAAATGTTTCCAAATGATTGGTTGCTTTTTTTAAATGAGCATGAGAAGTCCCCTATGATCTTCATGTATCGATTTTCTAGAGTAATAAAACTTTGGCTAAAGTGGTTTTTTGATCTTTCTAGACTGTAGATCGTATCAAATAGTCGATAAAATCTTCAATATGATATTATTTTACTTACAGTTCATGTTTAAAAAATAGAAAAGATTATTGTCTTATATACAACTCAATATACTCTATAATTTGAGTAGATCAAAAACCCAATTTCAGTAAAATGCTTGTTGGAATAAGTGCACTGATTGTCTAGTAAGTCGAGCAGTCAGACGTAGGACTAATTCTTCTACAATCAACTATGAAAACTAACTGAGATTGACAAACTATCTAATATTTAAATTATAGAATTTTCTATCTAATTCTAAACAAATATTTTTTTTGCTCATTTAGTGGAATATATACTATGAAAAAATGGCATCAAAACAAAATCATGTTTCATTGTCATATCTTATTAGTCTGCAACGATCAAAATTTTCCCCTAATCAAATAAATAATGTTATACCTCAATCATTATCCATAACTCCTCAGTTGAATCTTAATGATTCATTGATCCATGACAATACATTAAGATTGAATCAAGAAGAAGATCATGTTAATAATGATAATAATAATTTAACTGAAGTTAGTTGGAAAAGAATAAGAAAATCTAATAAATATCATAAAAATAATGATTCAAATAAAATATTATTAACTAATGAACCGACTTCAACAACTTGTACAATACAGTAGAAAAACAATATTAAACCTATGTATTTTAAAAATGATTGACTCTTCTTTTTATTTTATGCTTTTGTTGTATTAGAATTTTGTTTTATTAATCAATTTGAATGATTCTTCCAAATAAAGAACTGCATAATAATATAATAAATGAATTTTAGATTCTCATCAAACATTTTATTATTACATTCAGGTTTCAAGAACTGTTTCTATCTAATGATCTCTAATCACTACTTTGCGTAAACATAATGGATCAGGCCGACATGATCTATTAGAAAATCAATTTAAGATTATTGGATAATCAAATTCAACATTTACCCTTTATATCGAATATCTCATTGTTTATTGATATCATTTATCTATTCTTAGATAAAAAATTTATTTCGCCTTATATTCAATAGAAAATAAACTAACTGATGAATATAATCCATTATCAAACGAATTTATTATCGAAATTTCATATATTTCTTGCTCATATATAAAATCAAAAACCATTCTTTTCAATCGACATTCTGAATAATTGAATACAAAAAGAAGAGATCGAGTTCAACTTCTAATTATATGAGTAGATGTTTTTGTTGATGATGTATGAAAAGACATGTGCAACTAAGATCTATGATCTCAGTAAAAAAAAGAAGATATTGACGTCGTCATTCTTGTTGTTGTTGATGATGACGATATTATTAATCCTACACATAATATGATTTCTCCGAAGTAGATCTATGCGGGATAGCGAACGCAAAAGTTATTAATGAAGAAACATTGACTACCGATAGAAGTAGGAGGACCAAACTGAATTTTATCGTTCTATCATCATGATAATGCATTATTTTCCGAAGATAGACGATAAATGTTGTATAGGAATGATTAAAGGATATTCGACAGCAAGAGACAAGTTGTTGTTTAGATAGAAAAATACAACGAGAGAAAAGTTCAAATAGAGATAGAGGCAAGAAAAAAAATTATTCTCTATTCTACAAATAAATAGGCACAGGAATAAAGAAGGATGTGAGACATTAATCTATACGACTAACAGCTAATGGCAACAGCACAAACGATGAAGGTTACTCTTCAACGGGATAGTTTGCATACGCCATGGGGTTTTCGATTACAAGGTGGAGCAGATTTTCGAACACCATTCACTGTTAATAAAGTAATTGAAAGCAAAAACAAAATATTTTTTTTTATCGATGTAAAATTTAAAAACTTATTGAAAATATAGATTAATGCTGGTAGTCCAGCTGATGGTAATCTTCAGCGTGGTGATATTATTCTTGAAATAAATCAACAACCAATCAATTATATGCTTCATTCGGATGTACTTGAATTAATACAACGAGCTGGTGGTCAAATAACATTTCTTATACAAAGGTTTAATTAAAGAAAAGATTATTTATGACGTTTTATATTGCTTTTCTTTTTGTAGAGGATCTAATCAAAATCCTCATACATCATTGTCACAAAATCAACGTTCAATGTCAGCTGTACCATGGCCATTTGGAAATTCAAGCCCATCTTGGTCCTCATCGGCAAATCAACTTAGTCCTATGGTACAAAAAAAATCTTTCAAATTTTTGTTTAATAATTCATTTATTTTTTTCTTAGTCATATTTTCGAAATCGACCGTTGGAAAGAATACCTGAACCTAAACCATTGCTTAGGTATATAACTTATTAAAATTCTTTTGATATCGAAATTTGGAAATTCTTTTTTTTTTGCTCCCAGTCAAACAGGTAGTCCAATAATGCCTGGTCCAGTTCCATCGGTATCAACAAAAACACGAGGTTATATGCAACCACCTTCTTTTCATACAGAACGAGGCAATCACCATGAGAATATTTCATATCCTCCTCTTCGTTTTGTTTATCCGGGTCCAACATATAATCATCGTAGTCGAACTATGTCAACAACAGCAAATTATCAAAATTCTGATGATAAATCATCATGGAAAGAACCATTAAATAATGAATCTGATAGATATATACCTTCATATCAAAAAAAAGTTCATATAAATCCTAATATTCAAACACAACATTATAGTCCAACAAATCTTGTTCATCGTCAATTTAATTCACCTATATCACTTTATTCAAATGATAATGTACAAGAAGTTATGAATCATCATATTAGTCGTGTTAAGTAAGTATATAAAACAAACAAACAAACAAAATAGCATAAAAAGAAAATCTAATCTGTTCTTCCAGTCATGTGAATCAGGGTGAATTTATAACTGACTTTTAATGTATGTCTGTTTGTTTTAATTCTTCTGTAGAAAAGAAAAGAAAAGAATATTTGCATGTTTGCTATTGTTTTAAATATTAGATTAGAAAATGATTTTTTTTCTTTTTTTTAAATTTTAATTTTAGTATTATTCCAGCAATGCCTAAACAATCACGAAACACTTACAATATTATTTTATTACCATCAAATCCTACATATACCTCATCGAGTTTACCTGTTTATTAAATGAAACCAAATAAAACAATTTATGCATCACACTTTTGATATGAAGATTTGAAATATCTAGAATTAGTTGTTTTATTTCTTGTCAAATTGAATATTATTTTCTGTATGAATGCTTTATTTGTTAATTCTACAGCAGATCTAGATCTATATAAAAATATATTTAGTTCATTTGTGACCTGTTTTTAATTGTATGTTTGAAACACAAACCTTTTTTTTTCATGCTATCATTATCGAAAATAATAATATAAATCCAAATTATCACTCATGGTTTCATTAGAATCGTTTGAAGCTTTTTATTATAGTTGAAACTTAGCATTTAACATTAAAAAAAAATCTATTAAAAAATTGAGTACTTAATCAACTGGTACATCAAATACTGACTTTGACTGAATCATCAAATAACGTAGATGTATATCGTATTCATCCGAATTGAAAGCTTCGGCGTACAAATCACCCACACCCTAGTGGGTGGTAGAGCACTATACTACGTTATAGTGTTTATAAAAGTAATTATTATGTTATGTTTTATTCTGGTGGTATAACTTTTCCCCGTAGAGCTGAAATTCTCTTTTTACAAAAAAAATTGCGAAATCCTTCCAATTTTAGCTGTTTCATGTCACCACTTAGTAAAGGTTAGAAAATTTTTCTTATCCAATCCACAACCTACGATATTTTCTATATAAATACAATGAATGTCGAGTCGTCGTTGATAGTATTGAACATTATCGACATCTACTTCTCGGTGGCTTAAACTTAATGAAATTAATTTTCATAAGCAACGATATTTTTTTATTTTAATAATCTTTTAAAAAAAGGAATTTATTTTTTCCTTGTCGAATTTCTTAACATTAAAAATTTGAATCATTAATTATACAAGAAACATCATAATAGAGTCAATTTGAAGGATTCTATAATGGCAATCATACACAGTGACAACATATGACCATGAAAAAAAAAATTCTTGGCTCATTTGTGTTGACATATTTTTCAATGTCTATACAATAAGCAATGTCAATCATTTATGAAAATCTCAATACTTAATCGATTTAAATCTTCATAGACAATTTATCAAACGAATAGAACATAATAAACAGTTCTTTTATAAACATTTTTTTAAAAATTCATTGTTTATTAATAGGTTTCTATCATTTGTTTGTCTTTTGTGTGTTGTTATTTTTCTTATTTCAGACATTAGTATTTGTGCTTGTTCGATTTTCAGTTCTTACTTCAACTTCCCTTTTACATTAACGAATAAATTCATTTCATATATTATGTAAGTATTTGATCTCAAAATAGATAATTTCATGGATACTATTAAATAAAAATAAAAAACAACAAACAAAATCTTTTTCTTTTGGCATTTGCGGTTATTTGTTTTTATGTATCTAGTTTCAAATGACAACAATAAATTCTAATAATGGTGATGGTCAAACATCACCAATGCCTGATGTTAATGGTCAGAAACCTGAAGATGATAGAAAATTATTTGTTGGTAATTATTTTTAAAAATAATAGAAAAACAAAACAGATTTTTTTTTGAAATATTTTTTGTTTTAGGTGGCTTAACATGGGATACAACACAAGAAGATTTACGTGAATATTTTTCTAATTTTGGTAATATTCTTGATTGTTCAATAAAACATGATCCAACAACAGGACGTAGTCGTGGTTTTGCTTTTCTTATATTTGATAGAAAAGATATAGTCGATAAAATTCTTTCACAAAATGAACATTTTGTCAAAGGTAGAAAAATTGACCCAAAACCTGCACATCGTCGTTTAGCTGTTACAAATAATAATAATAATAACAATAATAATCATCATCATATGTCAACATCATCATCATCATCATCATCAAATTCAATATCAAATAATAATCGTAAAGTATTTATTGGTGGTCTTGATCCACATTTTTCTGATGTACAATTAAAAGAATATTTTTCAAAATTTGGAATAATTGAAGGTATGACAAAAGAAAAAAAATATTTTTTTTTGTATTATTGTGTAATTTTTAGATATTGATTTACCATATGATAAAGAAAAAAATGAACGACGTCCATTTTGTTTTATTTCGTTTCAAAATGAACAATCAGCACAAGAAGTACTTCGATTACAAAGACATACTATTGGAGATATAACTGTTGATGTCAAAAGAGCTAAACCAAAAACTTTAAATAATAATCAACAACAACAACAAATTTATGATCCATATGCACAACAAAGTATCTATGCTAATTATGGAACTGGTGTTCCATCGTATGGCGTAAATGCTTATTCTACTGTTGATCCGTAAGAAATTATTTTATGACATATATTATACTTTAGGAGTTATCCTTAAAGAACATTTAGGAAGACTCAAGAGAAGGCGAGTCATTTTTTAAGTGTTCGAATTTTATCGAAAGTTGATGGATACTCTAATATAATCTTTTAATTCAGTAGCTTCAGATCTATACACAGTTCATAGATAATAACATAATTTATTTCTAGTTACGGAGCCTGGAATGGTTATCCATACAATCAACAAGGTAATCCGGGTACTTATTCCTATAGTGGTTCTGATGCAAATTGTGTTCCTAATTCAACCACATTATCTTATCCTCAATATTCTCAACATCAATCAAATTCTCAATATTCTTACGGGCCATCAAATGCCGTCAATGCTAATGAATATTATTCTCAATATGGTTATGGTGCTCCTCCGACAACATCAAATGTCTATGCAGATCCAAATGGTTTGTTATTTTATTTTCATTTTATCATTTCGTTTTCTTTTTATCATATATATAGCCTACGGTGGTGCTTATGACTATAATTCTTATTATACATCAGGAGGTATAAATGCTAATAGTTCAATCGTTGATAGTGGTACAGGACAACAAGGAGGTAATTCGCCGAATGATGCAAATAATTATGATCATGATACTCGTTATGGAAAGAACAAAACATCTATTGTTTCCAGTCCTACTTATCATGCATATCCTATAAGTTAGACAATTTTTTAACAACATAGAATTCATTTCTTTTTTTTATTAACTGTTATTATTAATCTGACATATACGCAAGATGAATTCATACACACAGATATTCGATAAATCCATATTATTGTTGTTATTTTTCTTCATAAACAAAAAAACAAAAGAAACTAAACACCCGGTGTATATAGAAAAACGTTAATTTGTTGCTTTTTTTGTTTCTTTTATATCTTGCGCGATATTGTCATACCGTCTATGAAGTTTTATACTGTGTGTGTGAATTTTTTTCCAAGAACCGTGATAGATTACACAAAAGAAAAAAAACAATGCCAAAGAAGAAAAAAAAAAGTATGATAGTAACAAAAGCAAAAAAAAGAAATAAAAACAAAATCAGGAACAACATTTCTTGTGTTTTTTTTTCATTGTTCATTTAGAAAAATATGTCTAATGATTCATTTGTTTTTATTTTAGATAAAGTTGATATTAGCCGTGTCTGTTTTCTCTATCGACATTAAATTGTTTTCTTTTCATTTTTTTTTTTTTTTGTAATCATGTCCTCTGTAAATTATGGGAATGAAGGTATAACATCGAATGATGAAACAACAAATTCATCAGGTGCAATTATTCAACATCCATATCTTAATCCAAATGCAAATGTTGCTTATGCAGCTGCAGCTGCTGCTGCAGTTTCATCAGCATCAACATCATCAACTATAGGTCCATATCAACATTATTATGATCATACATTACCTTCACAACAACTTTTACATGTTCAACCAACTGTTGGATTTTATCCAACAACAACAACAACAGTATTAAATCATCAACATCATACCGACTTTAATAATTCATCACCATCGATTGCATCATCATCGAGTTCAATTGAATCATCACGTAAAACAACGAATCGAAAACGAAATACAGTTGATTCAGAAAAACTACCTGGAATAGCACTATCAACTAAAGCAAATGCTAAACGAAAACAAGTATGTTATTAAATAAAATTAATAATTAGCAAAGTGTAACGATAAACTAAACTTAAGAGAGGATTATCCGATTTAATACATGCCGATCGATTAATCTAAGATCACCATAGTTTTATTATGTGCACACTATCCTTATGTAGTTCCCTCGATAGAAAATTAATTAATGAAAAGGAAAATCTCTCGAAGCATGAGTTGCTTCTTAAGAGTATACCTATTTAGTATGTATTGAATTTATTTTAGCCAAATGATGATGATCTTGATGATGATGATGATGATGAAGAAAATAAATGCTATTTACGTGGTGCTCCTATACCAAATGTTTTAATGTCTACAAATCATCCACATAGTGGTACAGGCGGTGAAGAAGATAAAGAAAAACAAGCTCGTGAAAATCATTGTGAAATAGAACGTCGTCGTCGTATTAAAATGGCAACATATTTTGCTGAATTATGCGATATGGTTCCATCATGTTCAAATTTAGCACGTAAACCAGATAAATTAACAATATTACGTATGGCAGCACAATTTATGAAAAATTTACGTACAAATAATAATTCATTATCATTAAATTCAACACAAATTTCTCAACAACAACAAGTCGAGTTACATAAACCATCATTTCTTAATGATCAAGAATTAAAATATTTAATGGTTGAATCATGTGATGCTTTTTTATTTGCATTAAATTGTGACAATTTACGTATTATATATGTAAGTGATGCTATACAACATATACTTTCTTATACATGTCAAGATTGGTATTCAAGATATTTTTATGGTATGAAGAATGTTACTTTTTATAAATTTTATATTGAATCAAATTTCTGTTCGTTTTATTTTTTAGATTTTGTTCATCCTGATGATGTAGAAAAACTTCGTGAACAATTAAATTTACAACCTCAAGATGGAAATTCAAATGGTAATGGTCGAGTGTTAGATCTTAAAACTGGTACAATTAAAAAGGATGCACATGCTACAAGTGCTCGATCAGGCAAGTTCTTTTTTTCAGCTTAGAAAACTTTTTTTAATTTTCTCACAAGATTTAAACACATGGACGTGAATATACATTGAACTGTTTTCATCGGGTCTAGAAAAGAAGGGCACAAGGAAAATTGCGCACGTAATATTGATTTTTCGTTTTCGTATCAATAAAAGTCAATTGAACAAAATAGCAGAAATAATTTGTTCTTGAAGTGATTAATTGTAATATTAATAATTAGAAGTATAGTATAAGAAAAAGAACTAATGTTCACTACTGTACAAATACAATGTCACTATTTAGTGTTTCTATTTCTAATGGAGATATTTACTATGAGGTTGTATTGTGTGCTAGTGCACTTAATTGATCAACAATATGAGGGTGTTTGTGTGGGTATGGGTGTGGGTGTAATTCCATTCTTGATCAACACACCCTCACCCACACCCGTATCCTTTTATTTGGGATATTTTTTCAAAAATGAGCTTAGTTTGATCGGATTAAAGTATTAAAAGGCTTAAACATCTATTAGTTACAACTTTAAAATTTTTGAATTAGACCGCGTTCCATTTTTTATTTATCTCAAGAATTAGTATATTGAGCTTGAATTCAACAAAGTTAGATATTTTTTCTCTTCTTCGCCTTTCTAATGATTGTTTATGCACAACTAATAGTCTGATATTTCGTGCTCAAGACATCCGTGCGCTTCTTTCCGTGCACAAGTTTTCGTGTGCAACTTTCCGGATCCCGTTTTTATCAGCTGAAAATAAGATTAGTAACTAAGGTCCATCGGATTGATTCCGAGCCTGAAAAAACCTTATCAAAAAAATGAATGTAATTACATTTGTATTTGAGCTGGCTTCGTTTTTTTTTTTGACTTATCAATCTCAAACTAAACAGTATATCGAGTTCTTGATGAATTAATATTAAGAACTTAATTACACGAAGTCAATAATCAGTTAATTAAAACTGTACATTCGTAGTTGAAGTTGATTTAAATTATAAAAAACTTGAAATCTATCACATATGTATTTCCTCAAAAATCAAAATAACATATTTAATCAAATTTTTCTTCTTAAATATTTATAGTTAGTTCAAAACGATCATTTATTTGTCGTCTTCGTGTTGGTTCAACAAATCCACTTGATCATACACATCAAAATCCATTTGTTAATCCATGTATATTACGTCGACGTCATCGTACATCATTAGGCCCATCAATAGATGGCCATCTTTATGAAGTCGTACATATAAGTGGTTATATACGAAATTTAAATATTCATCATCATCCATCATCACATCATGATAATCCATCATCATCATCATCATCAACAACAACAACAACCACGACATCAAATTCCAATAGTCAAATGGCATTTATAGCCATAGCTCGTATACAAAATTCATGTTCACCAAATGTAAATGATTTAACCAATGGTTCAATATCATCATTAAATTGTTTAACAACTGAATTTACATGCCGTTGTAATAGTGATACAAGTGAAATATTATTTATTGATCAACGTTGTACACCTATAATTGGTTATAAAAGTCATGAATTATTACATAAAATTCTTTATGATCAAATACATGTTGATGATCAAATTAAATTTCAAGATTTATTTAAACGAACAGTTACACAAAAAAATTTATCAAATACATCATCAAATTTAACAAATCTAATCATACGTTTTCGTACGAATATTGATAATGAATATGTTTCATTAAAAACTTCAACATATGCTTTTTGTAATCCATGTACAGATGACATTGAATTTATAATAGTTACATTTTTATCAAATCAAACAACAAATAAAACATCAGTTATAACAAATTCAAATGATTATAGTCGTTTAACATACGAAACATATACAAGAAATTCAAGTGCAATTGTTCCAAATCCAATAACACGTTATTCACAACAATCACCATCAACATATAATAATCAAGATGGACAAGATTATTCAACTGGAAATGGTAATAATGATGGAAGAACATATGTAAGTAATAATGGTGGTTCAGCATGGGCATCAGCAAATGATAATTGGACAACAGGAAATTCAACAACAACAAATACTGATTATGTTGATACACCAGCAACACTTGCACTTTATCATCAATATCATCAGTAAACATAAATTTGTTTTTTTTTTAATGCATCGAAAATTCTTTTTTTTTGTTTCTATTGTATATTTTACATTCAGATAGTGTTCGTTTTTTTTTGTTCTTGTTCTTTATTTTTTTTCTCTTTTCTTTTCTCGCTTATATTCGAATCTCTTCATCTTTAGTATTTCACTTATTGTTTTTTGTGCATTTTTTTGCCGCATTGCGACAAATCATTCTATATTTACATTTCTTCTTTTCATGGCAATATTGTCTTTTTGCATGCTTTATATCTCTCTATTTTATATTTCGCATATAAAACCAAAGAGTCAGTAGTTTCCAGTCATCGAAACAAGAGAACGATTTATTTTGATGTCGTTATTTGTTTTTGTCATTTTAGTAGATGTGTTTTTTCTTTGTTTTGTATAAACATATATATATATACATCTGTATACTCAATTAAAAATAAACAATGAATGAGAAAAAAAAAATCGGATAGATCAAATGTATTTATTGGTATACATTGATGAATTTCGAGAAATTGAAAAATATTTCATTTATTCCATGAATATTAAAATTGGTCACTTGATATGATGAAAGACTTTAATGCTATAGAAATTTATTATAAAGAACGTTAACTTATCATCTGAATTCAGAGATCTCAACGGGCTAGGCTGATTCTATATTGCGATGAGTGCCCGTGAGCCGAATTTTGAATAAAATTCAAAATTTCCAAAAGATTTTGCGTATTTTCACTAGATTCTTTTTTCGAAAACTCACGTGACTCTTCCATTGGCTAATACATTTGTGTAATAAACAACAAATATATAAGGGAGGAGTGGATGTAGATGGAAATGGAGGTGAGTATTGGTTTTTGCATTCTCTCATACTGATACCCAGGATGTGGATGTGGACGTGAGTTTGTGGGTGGTATGGGGAAGTACACTGAAAACAAAAAAGGGTTTCGTAGTTTTGTAACGAATTCGAAATCTTTACAAAGACGTAAAAAGCATCCAGGAAACCGTTTTGAGGGTTTCGTAGTACTATACGAAACCAAAAGAGGGTTTCGAATTCGTTACAAACTGTGAAACCTAAAAAGGGTTTCGTGATATACACGAAACCCTTTTTTAGTTTCGTATAAAGCCTTTTTTGTTTTCAGAGTATGGATGTAGGTGAATAGAAGAGAACATCCTCACACCCACACAAATGCACCTGTACTACCCCCCACTATTTTGCCGAAAATTTCCCATGCGATTTCCCTCGGATTGACTTTCCGTTGAAAATAGTTTCAGTTAAAATATACACATCCGATGTAGACTTTTAATCTTAATTCCAAATTTACTACTTATTTTGCTTATCACTTGAATTATGAAAACGAAAGCTGGTAAATACAGAATTACTTTTTTACCTTTTTATTAAGACAATGAGAAGAAGGTGTACAATTTTCTCAACAATCAAATCAAATTGAAAAAAACTAAATAAGTAATTTTGAAGCTCGAAATCTGGTGATTCTAATAAGGCAAGACTTTTCATCTTATATTGTTCCGCGGAAACCTAGATAGGTGTGTAAAAGTGCTTATGAACACATGTTTTGAGGCTACCTATTATGAATAAAATTTGTTACTTTATAAATCGTAAATCTAAACAGATCATATTTACCTTGTCATTTTTTGGTGCTGATTTAGAATAAAATATTTTCGGGGAGTTTAGGAAAAATAAAGACTTAAAACTACAGGCTGCTTGAGAAAAAGCTGATTTTAAGTCATACATCGCAATATTATTGATGTTTTAGGATTTTTCCGCTGAGAGAATGAAATAATTAAAATAAAAAGTAACTAAACATTCAAAACCAATTCGTTGAGCTCTATCAAACCATGTATAAATAGATTACAAATATAATCGATTCGAACTTTACGTTACACGCACTTTATAAGACCTTACATATATAACAATTGAATAGCTCTTTCTTTCTTGCTTTCATATGTGTGTCAGATGATTTAGTTGCAGAATAACGTTAAAGTACTAAAACATAATGAAAATAGTTATACATTTATGCTGTTTTCTTTTGTGCAGAATACGAAGATTGTATGCTGTGATAGGAATACTTCTTCAGAACTTTTTTCACAAGTCTTACCAGTACCACCTGATAATGTTCAACAATGTATCTCTCATTAACATATTTTCAAGACTTTCAGCTAACGAAGTATTATTAAAAAAAAGTGTCTTATTTTGATAGCAAAATAACACAACTTTTTATACAAGTCTAATTAGAGTCCAGAGTGTATCCATCAAACTAACACTTCATATTCATAACATTTTATCATAAATTTGTGCCATTGTCTAATAGCAGCCATTTGTACTTCTATCATTACATATTTGCTCGCATTTTCAATTTTCTGATAAATACCATCTAGTTGAATGTTCTCTTTCTTGACAACCATTTTCTTTCTCGTGTTTTCATATCCATATTTGAACTGTTCGAGATATTCCAGCAGCTTTAAGTTGAGTTAGTATGAACTCTTCTTAGTGTAGTTATCATCTTCTTCCTTAAGTATTCTCTTGAAGCCTGACAAAAACGGATCATTTTGTGAAACACCAACAAGTCCCAACAGGATATGAGAAAATTCGGCACTAGCCTGACATAAATTATCAAGCATGTTTGTCATATGGTTCTGAGAACTGTTTGATAAATCATCACATCGTTTTTGTCCAAGTTCATAATCAATTAGATAGTACTCAGATGGGTCACATGTACAAGTTCGACATCTATTGTGGAAAACATGTAACACATCAATTGTAATCCAAAAGCCAACAACTTCAACAGATTCATGGCGGTATTTTAAGCAAACGGCCGCGATATTTTTGATGATTCTTGGGGATAATTCTATAGAAACTTGACGCGATCCTGCATTTCATAAAATAATATTACGAAGAATATTTTGCATTGCTTCTAACATAGGTCGAATCATCGAATTAATTCTAAGTTGTGCATGCGTCATCGAATGTAATTCATTAGGAATGATTTCTGTAGACATCTTAGTGCGAATATATTTGAGAAGACGATTCGATTCACTGGATGATTTCTTCCAACTATCATTGTACTCCTGTTCTTCAATGTCTTTGAAGTCAATTTTATTCAGTCTTGCGACTAAGTAACGAAATGAGTCGTTCTAAAAAAAAACCTATTTTCTTTGGCGAAAACAACCCTTTTGACTGAAAGTGGTTCGAGTAAGTTTTTGAGTGCAGGAGCTGTATTTCCTGATGTATAAAATGTTGGACGTGAATTGGTGAAACAAAAAATAATCTTATTACAAGTGTTTTCATCCAGCATATCAATTAATTGAGAAAAACACGAACTCAAGAAAATGTTAAGTCGTGTGTTGTTTGGTTTCAATAGTATACAAACAGCCTTCAAATGTGTCAGATTATTAATATATAATAAAATATGTTGCAGGTTTGCATCATCTTGATTGGTGCCATGCGTGTCTCCTATGTCAGAAGTGTTAATAATTCGCAATTTTTGTCCACGGCTTTCGCCATCTCTAAAAGTAAACACATACAATTTACAATGTTGAGTTACTGATTGACCAGAATAGTTATTGTCTTCATTACTTAAAGTATCATAACCTTCATATTCGACTAAACGTTCAGTAAAATTACCATCAATTGTCATAATACACGAAACAGGAATGGGTACAATTGGATTCTTCTCAGCTTGTTGGAGTTTGTCGAATTTTAAATAATTAACAAAAGCATTGATGAAAGTCGATTTTCCAACAGCTGATTCACCAAGAAGTAAACTACTGATACTTTCATCACTTTTCAGTCATAGTTAACATGATGATATCATTCAATTTGTATCAACAATACGAGAAACCAACGTAGATCAAATGCAACCGAGAATCTTGTTTACACTCTTTCAGTAATTGACCACACAGCGTATACCATTTTGATTGATTATTTTTGTATAAATAATCATCGGAACACATGACACGCGTATACTCTGCATCAGCCAAAAGCTTCCGTGCAACTGTTTGCTGATTATAATCATATTGTATATTTTGATCAATTGCGTTTTAATATAAAAACCCTTTTTCTATTAAATCTCTCATGAACTCCTCTTTTTTTCCAATTGCATTTAGACAATCAATGAAATCTTTTTTCTTCTGTGTAAAAGTTCCTGCTTGACCATCGCTCAATGCACCACAAATCATACTCTGATCGATTTCACCGCGACGAACACTCATTACTAAATCTCGAAGTCGATTGATTTCATTTGTATACATACTCTTCACTTCGTGCCAGGCTGTTTGCACTTTATCAAGTTCGACCTTCAGATGTTGTTGCAGATTTGGATAATCTTGACTCATTGCTTCGGTTAATCTTTTGAAGTCGAGTGATACGTTAACTAAATAAGATTCGATCATAAAGACGTGGTTTTGTTCCAAATCAATGAATACAGCTTGTTTTCCATGATTCACATCGTAAAAATATTCGATGGGGCAAAGATTATAAGTAAGCGGCATGAGAAAATTAGCATCAAGCTTCAGTGATGGAATATGGCGATAAAGATCATTAATTGAATTGATTCTACTGAGTTGAAGTATATTGGAGAACACTTCTGCGTGAACAATTTTTTCGAGAGAATGCTTCTCTTACTCAAACAACATTAAATTAGCATGATCATTGTTCAAAGAATCGGATAGTTTTTCTAGAGTGTAATTGTAACGACAAACTGGATTGGAGTAGCTTGCCACCACTCTTGGCAATGATATTTATTAGCTACTTCATATATCCAGAGTCTCACAACTTCATACATAACACACGTATATATAGGAGAGAGAGAGGAGAGAGATATATTAGAGCAATGGAAAGAGAACAGAAGGAGGAAGAAGGAGAATCATCGAAACGTGTTATCAATATCGGCACAGTAATCTATTGCCCCGACGAGTTGACACTAGGAGGCAGTTGTAAAACAACAGCTACATCAATTTCCCAATTAACTAACACAATCACACGAATGGCAGGCGCATAGAGCTTTTGTGATCTAATTTTACTGAATGACTGGAACACATCATCTATCAAATAATCTTTACGAAAATAGTTGATTAGTGAATCTATCCCATTTGCAGGGATCATTTGTAACGCGACGCTCAGTCGTAGTCATTCATCTATGTTGCACCATTTTAACAGACTCGTAGATTAATGTCATACATAATGGACATTTAATACTGTGCAGCTGGGAGTTGTATTATTTCTCACTAATACCATTTGAATAATGAAACTCTCAAGTACTAAATAATATAGTCGGTTTATGCACTTGATCTCCATTAGAGATCGAATCAGGGCGGGGCGGAGTATCGTTGCAATGGGGCGAAGCGGGACGGGAATGACTTATATTCCCGACGTATTTCCTCGCCTTAGAATTTCCTTATAAAAAAAGTTCATATTAAAGACATAAACTCATCGATTAGTACAAATACGAATGGCAGATGTCTTAACTACAGACTTGCATAGAAGTTCGAAATTCGACTCTAACTCCGATGAAATCACAGTCGAAACTAATGCAAATTATAAGAACTCTAAAAAACTTATTTCACTCTTTTCTCATGTACAGGACTGTAAAAATTTTTTTTCAGGAAGCTTACGCTGTGATTTTAAATAACATCAGGAAAAAATTTGATACTAAATGAGAGCAAGTCAACAGTGGAATCTATCATTGTTAAAAAGTGAGCATTATGCCAAACTTTCAGTGTTGAATTCAGAAAATTCCTTTAAGTTCATGTCATATTAGAAGAGAAAAATTCCTTTCATGAGGCATTTCAAACGAGACTTGATAAAAAATGATAAGAATCACAAAGTATTGGATATCTGACCTAGAAATATTTGAAAAATAGTCAAAGATGAAGCTGAAGGAAATCGCTATTAGAGGCAGAACACAATCGTTATGATTAAGAAACTTTGAAAAGAATATATTTCATATGTTATAATAAACATGGAAACAAACATTGACATATTTCGAATTATTTTATGTTCGTATCCGTCTCATGTTCCTCTGTGAAAACGATAATGGTCATCACACTGATTATTGATTATATTCATCAAATTTTTGAAAAAAATATTACCCTTTGATTTTCACCATTTTAATCAGATCTGGTTTGAACTGTCTCATCAAAGAAATTTTTCTGTGCTAATATGATATCAAATTTTAGGAATTTTCCGAATTCGATACTAAACAGTTGCCATAATTCTTACTATATTTAGCATTGATCAATCCCGTTGTTAATGCGCTTTCATTTGGTATAAAATTCTCTTCCGAGGTTATTTAAAATCCCAGCGTAAGCTTCCTGAAAAAAAATTTTTACAGTCCTGTACATGAGAAAAGAGTGAAATAAGTTTTTTAGAGTTCTTATAATTTGCATTAGTTTCGACTGTGATTTCATCGGAGTTAGAGTCGAATTTCGAACTTCTATGCAAGTCTGTAGTTAAGACATCTGCCNTGCCAATCCTACGATGGTCACTACCAAACCGTTTGCTGATATTAGTAAATATAGTGAATTTCCTAGCGAACCCGAAATACTTTTTATGCTGGGTTCTATTTTTCGTTTGGACAATATCGAGTATAGTAGTGATAATCAATTATGAATAGTCCAATTGACGTTATATAGCGAGAATGAACATGATTTAGAAGAAGTTTGCATGCATATCACACAACAACTTGGAGATGGAGAAACAAATCTTCAAACATTAGGAAAAGTATTATGGGAGATGGGAAAACCTGATCTGGCTGAAAAATACTTTATGCGCTTCTTAGAACAACTTTCATCAAATATTCCTTTACTTGGTAGTTTGTACGAAGATCTTGCCAAACTCGCATCACAGAACCGTCAGTATGACAAAAGTCTTCAATGGCATCAAAAACCTATCAATTTCAACAAAACATTTAGACGTTAAATTACGTATATCTGCTTAACACAGTTTTCAAGAATGATGCAGTAGTTCAATATGTACTATTTTTATACTTATTAGCTATAACATAAGGAAATCTTCAATTTGCTCAACATAACTGTTATGGTAGATAGAAAGATATACAAATCAGTATTATCGTAAAAAATTGCCTAAACAGAATCGTTGGGGAAGATAAGGTTTCAAAATACAACAGAAATCAATAGATATTTGTATTAATTTGATTCTAAGCGTCAACTACTTTGGACGTCTAAAACGACTACTAGATAAGCAAAAATCAGGATTGATTGATAAGATCAAGTACATCGTTTCACAAGGTTTTACTTTTATGAGTATTCAAAAAAAATTTCTGCTAAGAATATATTTTATTTCAAATGAAGTAGTTGCTTGAAAATGGTAGGTTTTTTCTTTCATTGAACTTACCAATAGATTTAATTAATTTATTAGTATTTAAACTTGTAATTGATGGATATGTTTTGTTGAAATTGATAGCTTTTTGATGCCATTGAAGACTTTTGTCATACTGACGGTTCTGTGATGCGACTTTGGCAAGATCTTCGTACAAACTACCAAGTAAAGGAACATTTGATGAAAGTTGTTCTAAGAAGCGCATAAAGTATTTTTCAGCCAGATCAGGCTTTCCCATCTCCCATAATACTTTTCCTAATGTTTGAAGATTTGTTTCTCCATCTCCAAGTTGTTGTGTGATATGCATGCAAACTTCTTCTAAATCATGTTCATTCTCGCTATGTAACGTCAATTGGACTATTCATAGTTGATTATCACTACTATACTCGATATTGTCCAAACGAAAAATAGAACCCAGCATAAAAAGTATTTCGGGTTCGCCAGGAAATTCACTATATTTACTAATATCAGCAAACGGTTTGGTAGTGACCATCGTAGGATTGGCATTGATTTCAAATAATACTGGTTTGAAATTGTCTGTATTATCAGGAACATGAAGAAATGAAAGGACTTGTTGATATTTAGTACTAGTAGAAAAAAATGAGTTGACAGAAATAAACTGACCACGATATTGTTTTAAAGTTTTCAGTTCATTCTTTGATATAATTTGCCCTCGATAAACTAGTAGAGAATTCTTAGCTTGATTACATGCTAATTGACGTTGAATGTCAGAGATAAATGAACGAAATAAAAAAATCATATGAATATTTTCGGTACGTAGAACTGCATTAAGAGTCTTGTAAAAGAAAGATTGTCGAGTATACCACCGCAAAGCTTTGTCGGATGTGTAACTGTTTTCAAATTCAGAAATATTGTTCAACTCGACGTTATTACTTATATTGTTGTTTACAACAATCGATAAGTTCTTTTGTATCTTTTTCGTTGGGTTTTAATCGTAGAAGACAATCGACAAGAATTTGAGAAAAGACAAATCTATCATTTTACTCAGCTGTTGATTCACCAGGATCAGAACCTCTAGTAAAATAATTGATTGATAAAGATTTCTCAATGGTTTTCTGAATTTTATGATCATTTCTAATTTGAGAAATGAGTTCATCAAGTTCAGCAACAACACCTTTCACCTATCAAAAAATAAATGATAACTTGAAACTGAAATCGTTCAAAATAATTTTACTTTTGAAAATCTGTCAATCCATTTTTTATTACCTTCCTTATTCATGCAGTACACATAAATTGATATAACTTATCGAAGTTTGTGAATAATTAGAAGGAACTATTTCTCGTCCCAATTGACCACTAACAATCAATATTAGTCGATCGTTTTTTTATTGTTGTTCAATATATTTTTGACATTCTTCTACATCTTGAAACTTCTTGATTTAATTGATGATAGAAAGTAATTTTTGTTCTGTATCTCGATTATCTTTGACGTTTGTGTTAGCATCGAGCCAGATAAGACCGAAAATCTCAAGATTTATATTATTGGCTTTTGTATGCAAGTTATCAATTAATCCAACTGGAGTGGTCATATTAATTGAGAATTTTGAATGTTGTCTATCCAATTTCGTTATCAAATGTATGGGTATTTTTATCAATCTAAAACAAATGTTATACTATCACTTTTATTATTGAATTTATTAGTATTTATACTGTCATGTAAAAGAATAAAAGAACTAGATATTCACGATTGTCGGATACAGTGACTTTCCTCCAGTCTTTAGCTTTTGTGTAGGTAAGATCATCGAACCACAGTGAAAAATTGTTAGGATGAATTGAAGTCATTTTTTTCTTTTTCATTTAGTCATCTAACAAGATTATAACCAGACGATACCATCTCCCCGTAAGTTGGGCAAAGTGAGCCGATAGTATGTAGATTTTTAATTTAAATCGGTATAAATCATAGTACTGATTTTTCTCTTTACGAAATGCCCACAGCAAACTTAGTTGAATCTATTGAATAGAGTTGCACATTTAAGAAATGTTGCTTCCTATCTCATTCAAAAAAGTGATCATCGTTTAATTTTTCCATTTGAGAATAAGAATTTATCAACACTCATGTCATCAAAACGGCGACAAAATAGGCGACTTTATCGCCTAGAATAATGATTTTCGTAAAAATCACGATTATTTAAATACAAGTTGGCCCCACCAATAACAATAAGATAAAAACAATGAAATATCATCGCATCAGTTCAACTAAACAGACTGTTCTGTTGATTACTAGTAAAAGTTCATTGAAAGCCTTTTTTGTCATACGGATCACAAAGCTCCAAGCAGGCCATATGACCTGCCTGCCTGTGACAGGCATAGGCCACGATATTTAGGCCTGGCCTGTGACAGGCAGGCCAGGCCGAACCCCGTATCAGGCCAGACAGGCCGCTTAAAGTGGCGACCGCCTGGCCTGTCTAATTTGCTTTTAATATAAAATTCTAATCTTTTAAATTGCATCATTGATGGAAGAAAGATTGGGATTAATTAATTTTCAATGATGACAGTTTAATATGAGAAATTATATAAGTATTTAAGTATAAATATTGAAAAAAAAAGGAAACAAAATTCACTGCAATGGTGAATATGTTATCAGAAGAAAGGAAGGGTTATTAAAAGTGGTGAAACTGGTTTTTTCGCAAAATTTTGTTTCTTGCCTATGCAAAACTGTTAGACGACGCTCTAGAAAATGATCGTTTCTACAATCAACCCTATTGTTTTTACTGTATGCAGATCGTTTGAAGTAGTAAATAATTCCCATGCATATTATATTCGAGCATTAATGATAATCAGGTCTACGTAACTTTCTTTATACTAGTCGATCACGCAAGTTTTAATATATTTTGATATAGATTTCTTGCACGACGAAGTCTTCTGAAAGATCAAAGAAAAACATTGATCACTGAAAAGCGTCCTAGGAATATTGTTTCTGGAACATGATATTTAAGATGTACTTGACTAATATTTTGTTGATTTCGACGAGAAAAAATAGTTTGAATAAAAATAAAAACCAGGTTATGAATTAGCATTGAAACATCTACTTGGTTCGGGT